ACTCACAGAGATTCACCTACCTCTGCCTCCCGAGTGCCGGGATTAAAGGCGTGCACTACCACTGCCTAGCACAGTTCTCTTTATTGATAAAGAAAACCTTTACTCCCAGGCTGCTTCTTTCCTGGGAGACGGTCGAACAGGCCACATGAATTTGTAGAAGACAAGCTGCAAGCCAGCAAGTTGATAGAAGCTCGGAAGGAGGAAACAGGTTGTAATGCCACCCATGAGGGGCTGGGTATTGCAGTACACACTTGTGTACCAGCACTTGGGACCTAAACCTATAAGTTTAAGTCTTGCTTAGGTTACCTAGTGAGATCAGTGAGTTTTATTTATTTATTCAGGCATTTGGGGGGGGGTTCTTTGCTTTATTTTTTAATTTACATGTATGAGTGTTGCCTGTATGTATGTGTGTGCCTGGTGTCCTTTGGAGGCTAGAAAAGGGGTATCAGATGCCCTAGAAGCGGTGCTACAGATGATTGTGAGCCACTGTGTGGGTGCTGGAAATCAAACCTGGGTCTGTTAGAGCTGGCTGCCAGAGCTTCTAACAGCTAAGGAATCTCTCCAGCTGCTTTTGTTTTGTTATGCAGTTTGTTTTGTTTCTGCTTTTTGCTGGTGATGGTTTTGACAGTAGGTCTCAGTATATACTCCAGGCTGGCCATGAATTTGTGGCAATCCTCTCCTGCCTCTGACCTAACACCTCTTATCTTCAGAACAAAATGTGCTGTATTGATCCATCTCCACTCCCTCCTGTAACTGAATCTTGACAGGATGGCCTGTCCACTGGTGTAGTTATTGTCACCTCTCATTAACTCTTCACAAATGTCATTTGTTTTATAGACCAGGCAGGCCTCAAACTCAGAGATTTGCCTGTCTCTGCCTTCTGAGGGTTGGGATTAAAGGTATGCGCCACTAACACTCAGCTAAACTTAGGGAAATTCTTTACCCCAGAATATAATACAAATGTAAATAATAAAGTAAATATGATTTCTAATTTTTAAAAATGCAAGAGCTAGGTGTGATGGTGTGTCCCTTTAAATCTCAGCACTCAGCAGAGTCAGATGGATCTCTGTGAGTTCCAGGCCAACCTGTTCTACATAGCAACTTCTGGGCTACTCATACATATAGTGAGACCCAGTCTCAAAAAAGGGGGTGATGTTGAAATTGTGGTAGAGAGATGGCTCAGTGGTTAAGGAGCACAGGCTGCTCTTCCATGGGACCTGGGCTCAATTTCCAACTCCCACATGGTGGCTCACAACCAGTCCCATGTTTAAGCAAGAATGACAGATAATGTCCTTTACCCAGATTTTGCATTTTCCCATTTGACTTTATATTAGTAACCATCCATATATATAAATACAGAATTCTTTTTTGTTATGACATATTTAAAGAGTGAATCAAAACCATTGCATCCATTAATATTGGATACATTTGTGTGTTTCCTTGGAGTGGTGGTTTGTTTTTGTTTGTTCATTTATAGCCAATTACAAAGTAAGAAAATCTATTATGAATCTAGCATTATCTGTTTGTATTCAGAGTCCCATTAGCATCTAACCAGCCACACACCCTCAGTCACCTTATTCTGGAATGATTTTTGACAGAAAAGCCATAGTAAGTATTGTTCCTTCATAACAGGGTACATGGTGACCTTCTCCAGATTATGACGGTAGACTTTAAGTGTCTTTGCATTTAGTATCACCATTTTTTTTTTATTTTTTAGTTGTAATCTACTGTGAGATTTCACACACACACACACACGCACGGTCATATTATATTTGAGTGGATTTGTCCTTTTGCTTAGTTCCTTATTCAGTGAGTCAGGACCCACCATCACATGATAGGGTTGGGGAGGGAGATAGAGGTAAGACAGGATGTCCCTAGCCTTGACTAGTTTGGAACTTGATATGTAGACCACATTGAGCCTTGAACAAGTTCTGGGGTTAAAGGTGTGTGCCCTCCCCCATGTGTAAGAGTGTTATTATACCTTCATGTAAGTCTATATGCCATGTTCCCGTAGAGCCTTGAGAGGCCAGAATTGGGTGTTGGATCCTCTGGGAGTTATAGATAGTTGTGAGTCACCATGTGGATGTTAAGAATGGAACCTGGGACTCCTGAAAGTATACAGCCAGTGCCCTTAACTGTGGAACCATCTCTCTAACCCCAACTTTTAACCAGCTGTGGCCTCTTGTAGTGCTATTCTGGTCATAAAGAATTTCTGTAACTTAAGTCCTTCCCCAAGTTTCCCAGAATGTCTTACATACATTTGTCACCAGCATGTCACACTCTAACCCACACACACACACACACACACACACACCCCTACCTTCCCAGACTTCTGTTCACCTGATCAGTTTCCTTATGGGCACGATCTAGCCTGTATGTGCTGTGCATGATGTCATAGGCATGACCTTCTAATTGTATATTTGTGTGGAATTCTTGTATACTGAATTGCCTCACACATTACAGATTTAAGAAGTTCTGTCCAACCACATCAGTTTCATAAGCAAAATCAGCTTTGTTAAAGAATCCAGTATTCGAGGTTAACAAAAGAAGCCTTGCCTGGATAAAAGAAGGGCAGTAACATGATGATGCTCAGTAACCTTTTCCTGCCACCACCACCCCTTCTCAATTTAGAAAAGTCATTACTGTGAAACAGTTTATAAGGATCCCTGCCAAAGTCCCAAGGATGTTATGTCTAAAATTTGACTTCAACAGATATTTGCTAAAGGGCAATAAATGACAGGCTCTGGATTAGACAGAAGGCATATGGAGGGGCAGTCCCTGCCTTCAAGAAACTACTGCTTTGTGCTGGGCTTGGTAATGCACACCTTGCATCCAAGCACTGGGGAGGCAGAGGCAGGTGGATCTCTGTGAGTTCAAGGCCAGCCTATACTACATAGTGAGTTCCAGAACAGCCAGGGCTGTGTACAGAAAAGACCCTTGTCTCCAATGAATGAATGAAGGAATGAACATAAAATAACTAAAGAAAGAAGTAAAAGAAACTACCATTTTTAGAGCTGGGGAAGCAACTCAGTAAGAGTGCTTGTTCTGCAAACATGAATACCTGAATTCAAATTCCCATGTAAAAATTTGGGCACAGCCACTGGGCACCTGTAACTCTAGTGCTGTTGGGAGCAGACAGAATGAAATTTTGGGGATTAATGGCTGCTAGCTTGGTTCCAGGTTCAGAGTGTTAAGGATCAAGACACCCAATGCCTTCCTCTGGTTTCTGTGTACATACACATGGGTACACATATGCAGGCAGGCAGAGAGAAAACGACAGAGAGAGAATCATTTTAGCAGGACAAACAACAAACAAATATAGCTGGTGCTAAATGATACAGAAAAAAAAAGTTAAGTATTGGCAGCAGAAGTGCTTTTAAAAAGTACGGAGAGATGGTTCAGTGGTTAAGAGCACTCACTAGCTGAGCTTCCAAACAACCCAGGTGATTCCCACCTCCCACGTGGGAGCTTACCACTGTCTGTAACCCCAGCTCCAGGGCATGAAGCACCATCTACATACTCCCATGAACACTAGGCACACATAAGGTACACAGACATACATGCAGGCAAAACACCCATACACATAAAAATAAAAAATAAATTTTTACTACATTAAAGAGGGAAAGCTAAGGAAAAATGGGATGATAATACTTGGAGAGAACGAATTTGAGGATACAACCTTAGGATTTGCTCAGTTTAGAGATCTGAGGATCAAGGATGAGCAACTTAGAAGTCTCTAGTGACTTAGAAGAAGGGGGGGAGGGGACTGGGGTGCCAGGTGAGGCAGCTGTTTGCAGGAGGAGGCAGTGGTAACTAAGTCCGAATTTGCTGATGGGTCATATATAAGGATTAGATTTGGGAGACCCTGACAGACTGTTTCAGTGGTGTGCTGGGAACCCAGAACTCCTCATTGGGATGGATTTGAGAGAGAACACTCTGGGAGAATTTTTCCATAAAGGTGGGCAGAATAATGAGATGGTATCTAATGGAGGGATATGGGAGCAAGGGGCTGGTTCTGTAGTTAGGAGGCACCAGCCCACAGTAGGTAGCCATTGGGGATTGTCCATAGGTGGGAAACAAGGAACATCTGGCCAAGCGAGCTCGTGGAGGGTCTGCCTGCCCTGGGAACAAGACACCACGATGTCTGGAGGGAAAGTGGAGTATCCCAGAGAGCGGCACAGCTGGACAGATGGAGAAGCTAAGAAACCATGCTTTTCTGTCCTGCCCCACACCCTGCTCCCAGCGTTTGTAGATGTTCATTTAGTTTGACATTTATATTTTTCAGATTCCTGTGTTTTGGAGGGGAAGTGGACCCTTGAGTTAGTCCTGTTAAGATCATACTCCTGTAAGCCAGAAAACCATCCTGGCATGGTGGTAGGAACCTGTAATCCCAGTACTCTGCAGGTTAAATAAAGCATGAGGGTCACTAATTCAAGACCAGTCTAGGCTACACAAAGAGATCTTTAAAAAGGAAGAGAGGCGGAGGAAAGGGGGGGGGGTGGGCAAGCTCATGTCTATAATCCCAAAGCTGAGGGTAAAGGCTGATTTGAGTCTTCTCACCATTTAAAAATTTCCTTAGATGAAGTAAATTCAAAGCAAGAAGGAGTCTCCTGTGTAAGAACAAGTGAAATTGAAATATCTAAACCAAAAATAAAAACAAAGCTGTTCTTATTGTAAAAGGAGTACTCTTTTGGTCTGGAAAGTGGAATGAAACCTTTCCCACACAGTCCCCACCCCATCTGCCTTTCAGACAGAACACAGTCCATAATTTTAAGAATATAGATTCCTGGATTTAGTTTATGCAGATTGGGCAGTCCTGGGGATACATAAGAAGGGCAGGGCAAAAGACTGGCCTTTGTGTCCGGAGTGATTGCTTCTCTGATGGTGAGATGAAGTCCCAGCCTCAGCTGATGACAGTGCAGCTTTCAAACAGTTGTCCTATTTGTCAATAATGGTTTTCTACTTAGCAGTATTTTGGGTACTTTTTTTCTATTTTACAGGAGAATGATATACTAAAAGAAGAGAGCGAAGCTGTAGATCACAGTTCCCAGCATGAGGAAGATGGGGAAGGGGTACCAGCCCACCTGAAATCACTACAACCTAGTAGGAAGGACGAAAACAAAATGATAGATACCCATGACTGGGAAGCAGAGGTGATCAGAGAGTTCAGAAATGAGGTAAGTGTGGCAGAAGCTTCCAGGCTTGCCATTTGTCTTTCATGAAGAGTTTGCTTTGTTAAGGAGTTCTGGGTGTAAGTATACACTATCTTTAGCAAAGCTGGTATACGAAAATAACATTTAAAAGTGTGTGTGTGTTAAATAAAGCACTTAACCCACAGACTCATTTTATCTGATTAAAGAGAGAACTTACTAGCAGTTTTGTTGTTTTTGTTTGTCAAGACAAGGGATAAAAGACAGCTGGCAGCCGGGCAGTGATGGCACACACCTTTAATCCCAGCACTCTGGAGGCAGAAGCAGACTGATTTCTGTGAATTCAAGGCCAACCAAGGCTACACAGAGAAACCCTGTCTCAAAAAACAAAACAACAAAATAGCTGACATCCAAGTTAGACTGTCTAGGTCTGGGAGATGAAACAAAAGACCAGCTTTACAGACATTTCTCTCCATTTCCACTAAAGCTCAGACCCAAGTCTTCACTCTGCCAGTGAGTTAGGCCAAACCACTGGCGTCCCATAGTCCATTCTGTACCCTGGGCTCACCTACAGGGTCAGGCCCCTGCTTCTGAAGGGCATCTTTCTATACTTCTGGCTGGACATGGTAAACTCCAGGAACCAAGTGCTTCCCCTGCTTTCATGTGGTCCATACCCTGGTTTTGACCTAGATCTGGATGATTCTAGCCACAAATTTGGCAGACAGGTGCTCAAGAGGGTTCACAGACACACATGACACTTTCACCTACAAAGCATTCTTGTCCTAGTGGTTGTCTTCATCATGACTAGCTTCAGCACCTGCCTTCTCTGAGAGGTGGAATCTGGGGCTCAGTCTTAAATCCTTGGAAGATGGAGAGTACCATGCCCTGGCCCTTAAGACAGCCCTCATCGCCATGTAACATTACATCAAGAACCGGACTTTGTGGAGTTCTTGGTGTAAAAACCACAGTACCCATCTTAAAGAGATGAAGAGATGGTTTATTTTGGAATCATTCTGAGTGATCATGGTCCAGGAACCCAGATTTAGATTACCCCAAATTCCATGTTCAAACGTGGAAGCAGTTTCATAGTTTTTTTTTTTGTTTGTTTGTTTGTTTTATAGACAGGTCTAAAATACATTGGTGGGTACATCAGGGAGGCAGGGCAGTGATATGGGGAGAGCCAAAATACTATCTGAGGTTATGGGTTGGTGGGAGCTAGTCTGCTAATTTAATAGATCACAAAAGGTTTTATCTGTTAGTCACAGAATGTTAGTTCTGACACAGGTGGGCAAGAATGGCTTTTCTGGAGGGCTACAACTAGCCCAAGATAAGGTAACTAGCTTGTGGACCTACAACATTGCAATCTCTCCACAGTACTGCAGTTCTAACCAACCAGTCAATCAGTGTCTGCAGCACAGCTACTTAGCAGTTTTTATTCAGCATAATAGGTTTGTTCTTTTCCCCTACCCTCTACTGTTGCCTCTCTTCCAGCCTGCTCTTATACCATGGGTGAACCATAGGCCAGGGCCATAGCTTCTAGGAATTCTGATGAAGAAATCCCTCTGGTTGGGCTGGAAATAAAGGCCAGTGGTAGAATGGCTGCCCAGCACAGTCCTCAACACTGACAGAAATGGAAACACTCTCAGGTCATGGTAATATAGCAGTTAAGAATAACATTAAACCAAGTGGTGGTGGATCATGCCTTAAATCCTAGCACTCGGGAGGCAGAGGTAGGCAGATCTTTGTGAGTTTCAGGCCAGCCTGGTATACAGAGCTAGTTCCAAGACAACCAGAGCTGTTACACAAAGAAACTCTGTCTCAAGTTCTGATAATATACTTTTATGTGTGGGCACTTTGCCTGCCAGTATGTGTCTGCACCACTTACATGCCTGGTGCCTGTGGAAGCCATAAAAGGATATCAGATGCCCTGAACTGGAGTTTATAGGTGGTTCTAAGCCGCCATATGCAGGCTGGGATTTGAACCTGGATCCTCACAAGAATAGCCAGTACTGTTAATGGCTGAGCTATTATTTCTCCTGCACTGGCTGCAGTTTTGGTGTATTTCTTAGTAGGGAGACTAAGTATAAGTCACTTTCTTTTGAGTAGAAAGCCTAGAAAAATAGTAAGGAGCACTGGTAAAATGTGGCCCTGGCTCAGAGTGTAGGCAGGAAACGTGTGTAGATTAAGTAATCTGAAGACCACTTAAAATAAAGCTTGGCATACTTCATTATTTAAAAAAAAAAAAAATAGCTCCCCGTGTTTTTTGAATTCTCCATCTAAGATAAGTTTAAAAAGTTCAGCTTCACAGCGGGATTTGGTGGTGGCACACATCTTTGATCCCAGCACTTGGGAGACAGATGCCAGGACAGCCTGGGCTACACAGAGAAACCCCACATCAAAGAAGGTCCAGTTTCACATTTCCCAGCAACATAAAATGAACCTAAAGCATACTTTCAGTGTTTCTAGAAATAGTTCAGTTGACCCATAGAACAAAGTTTACAACTTTTTCCTCCCCTCCAGACAGGTCTCGCTAACAAAGGGTAACCTTTAACTTTTTAAGAAAGGTTTTCTCTGTGTAGTTCTGAGAATTCAAATCTTCCTCTGCCTCATGAGAGCTGCTATTTTAAAGGCATCTATCACCATTGGCTAGCAACCATTAACTTCTAGATCGTGGTTATACTCCCCACACCCTGGGATCTAATCCAGGGCTTTCTGTATACTAGCCAAGCACTTTACTGAGAATAGTTCCTGTTTCTGTAGTTTGAGACAGGACCTTGCTATTTTTACCCTGGGGATGGCCTTAAATTTACAATCCTTCTGCCTCTGCCTCCCAAGTAGTGAGATTAAGGGAAAGCACTACTATGTCTGACTGTATGTGTAACAAGTTCTATGAAACCAAGTGTAGACTTGGGAGTCAGGCTATTTTTAAATAGTGCCAGGTGCACTATTTAAATGGAAGCATTTGGGAGGCAAACGCAAATGGATCTCTTGAGTTTGAGGCCAGCCTTGCTCACACAGCAAGTTCTAGACCAGCCAGGGCTACATAGATACTAATTCCAGCACTTGAGAGGGAAAAAACTGGAACTACAATTTGTCTCTCTCTGATCATATACATTTTGTTTATAAACAGAGCCATCTACACTGGTCTGATACAGCTTTCTCTCTGGAAGATTTATTTCAACTGCTTTCATCACAGTCTGAACATTCCCTGGAGGTAAAAGAAATCTTGACTTGTATTTTAAAAACTGAAATGACAAACCTGTGAATTAAGGGCCTCTCCTACTTTGATGACATAGCAATTTTGTCATGTACATCATGAAGTATACAGTCTTTTCATAGAAAAGATCACTTTGTGGAGACTTTAAGCACATGCTATTTTATCAAATTTAGACCATTCATACTGAATGACTTTGCTTTCCTAGTAGCAGTTATATAGTCTCTCCTTGATGCACTCTCATAAGCTTATCCTTGGCCCTTCACAATGTAGATTATGACTCGAAAAGCATAGCTATAAGGCTTAATTAATAATCAGCTTAATTCCCTGATTATTCAGAGACCCCTTGCTCCCAGGTACATCAGCATTTTTTGATTTGAGATAAAACAAATTCTTTGTAACAAATATGTTCATATTAGGACAGAAATTTGATAGAAAGGATTGTGATAGTGGAACTCCTTTTGAAATATTATTGTTCTCCAGGGCCTCTCTCTGGAAGACATTCCACCTTTTCTAAACAGTGCCAATGAAAGTGTGAATTCCTCAGAACACGACATAAATTTAAGCCATGCTATAAGCCATGATGTCAATCTTCATGAAGCCATGCTGTTGTGTCCTAACACAGTTAGAAGAGAACCAACAAGAACTTCACAGGCACAAGAACCATTTCTGCAGTTAAATTCTCATGCCAATACTGAGCACACCATTCCTGCAATGTCCTTTCCACCTGCTGACAACCAAATGAGGAATCTAACAAGCCAAGATGTCCTATATGACCTTGATTCAAATATATTTGACGGAATAAACCTTATGTCATTGGCCACAGGTTTTAGTCCATTGGAAGTTTCTCAACTTTTTGAAGAACCAGACTCTGATTCTGGGCTCTCATTAAATCCAAGTTACACCACCACCAAGTCTAATTCTTCTCACTGTATGTATGATGGTGCTGTAGGTTACAGTAATGACCTTCAGTCTCTTTGTCAGGATTTAGGTGCTGTAGGAGGCTGCTACCCAGAAACCTGTAAACATTGTTACACGAACCATACGACTGTGTCTGGCTTTCACCAGGATCTTAAATGTCAGCAAGTATTTCATGACCACACTTACCATGTACAGCCAGGTGTACTAGAGCCCAACTCTGAATCTTTTACATGGTCAAAGAAAATCAGTGGGTGCCTTGACCCAGACAGAAGCCTGAGCCGTGATGAACAGCGTGCTAAAGCTCTGCATATTCCCTTTTCAGTAGATGAAATTGTCCAAATGCCTGTTGACTCTTTCAATAGCATGTTAAGCAGACACTACCTAACAGACTTACAAGTTTCTCTCATACGGGACATCAGACGCAGAGGGAAAAATAAAGTTGCTGCTCAGAACTGTCGTAAACGTAAACTAAACATCATTCTAAGTCTAGAAGATGATATCTGTAACTTGCAAACAAAGAAGGAAGCCCTTAAGAGTGAGCAAGCTCAATGCAACAAGGCTATTGGCATAATGAAACAGAAGCTACATGACCTCTACCATGATGTTTTTAGTAGGTTAAGAGATGACCAAGGTAGGCCAGTCAATCCAAACCATTATGCACTTCAGTACAGCCATGATGGAACGGTTTTGATTGTACCCAAAGAACTGGTGGCATCAGGCCACAAAAAGGAAACAAAGGGAAAGAAAAAACTAAACAGGTTCCAGTGACTTATGTACTGCTACTTAAATCATTCAGATAAGAGTACAAGTTTATGTTTGTATTGATGTTTAGAACAAGTTATACTTCTGTGAAGTTGGGAGAACCACACATTTTCATGGACCACTTCTGCACTAAAACTCAAATACCTGTTTACTTGTAAATACCTGTTTACTTGTAATCACCAAGAACTTTCCACCTTTTAGTAAGGTGGTCACTTGAAAAAGCTTTTAAGGTGCTCACAAAATGGAAATGGCCTATAGTGTTTCTGAAGGTATTTTTTAATATTTAACTTGTAAGTCTCAAAATAAAATTTTGTACTGAATTTCTCAACGGGTCTTAAGCTTGCCTTATTTGCCCTTTAAAAAAATACAGCTTACTTAGCAATGCCACGTTGACACAAGTTTAAACCATCAACAGTAACCCAGGCTTTAGGAGAATGCAGTCACAGGCCTATCCTGATACCGATGCTGAGAAATAATTACATGGGAGCAATACTAGTAGCCGCCTGTGATGACCTCACAACCTAAAACAACTTTGAGTATTTACATGTTTAATGACATCCTAGTTCCAAAGAAAAAATGTATTGCCCAGTGGTCAGCCACTGCAGTGAGTCAGTTTCTCCTATGTCACACACAAAAAGAACACTTAGTGTTAAAAGTCCATCACACCGAATGTGAGATGTGTGAACCAATACTTTTGCTTTCACCCATTGCTTTCAAGGGCACTGCACACAGAGTAACCTTATGTGCAATAAACTCAATATACAGTTTGTATCTTTTCATTTATAAAAATAAATCTTTGACCACATCTTGAGATTTGCACTACCTGATCATTCAGGTGGCTAGTCAGCCAACCACCTAATATGACCAGATTATTGTCTACACATTTACAAGACCATTTGGGGATCTGTTCTCTTTAAAAAGGATAGGTACATCCTTCATGTCCAGAATTAGTAAAATGACATGGAACTTTCAGCCCCCATCTCCCCACTCCATACTTTGTCTATAGACACAAGTGTGGCTCCTGCAGGTGCTAATAAATCTTGACCAAACTTAAGGGTGATAAGTGTTTTGCATTGTCCCTTCATAATACACACACAGGGCTCTGGGCCAATCTAACCAAATGTGGATAGACCACACACTCAAGACTGCTTCCCATTAAGCTTTCTAAGAACCCTTGTTACTCAGCCGAAGAATGAATGCTCTTTTCCAGAGCACAAGGACCTTTGGTGGCCAGAATGCTGAACCAACTGGTTTAAGTTGCCCTCAAATAACCCAAGACAACTCTGTATAGCACTGTTCACGGGACCTAAATTCAGTTCCTGGTGGCACAGGCAACTCCATCTCCAGGGCACCCAAAAACTGCATGCACAACCCTTATTTTTTAGAAGCTCCCATATAGTAAACATGCTTAGTTAACCCCATACCTTCCACAATCTACTGTTTCCTAATTGTACACTGTAAACTTTAAGGTCCAACTTTTTAGAAGTTATTTAAGTCATATTTTCGAGGCTATGGAGGGAGATGAGCTCCCAGAGACTTAACAACCTCAACTTCCTCAAGGGGTGGGATTAAGGGGATATCACCACATCCTAACTACTTCTGATTAGCTGGAAGCCATGTGTTTTAGTGTTTAGATGTGCTATTCCACAAGATGTAAGAGCTCACTTATTAGCCATTGACTTACCTGTATTATTACCTCATTATCAAAACCAGTTTATCTGCTTACTTTGGTTGTAATTATTCAGAGTACCCAAAAGTTTAAACCACAACACTGAGTTTAACCACTTGCTATACAAGTATAAAAAAGAATTCATATTTGGCAAGACTCACTGATGCATGCAAATTAGTGTCAGACACCACCTGGTTAAAACCCCTGGTTTCAACATCAAAGCTCAAATAAAGTTGTAGTAATGTATTTATATACTCATAAAAAGGAGTATCTTATTAGGGATAGGAAATATTGCCTACTAATGCTTTTCTCATTTGTCTAGTAATATTGAAAACTGTGAGTATTTTGTGCAAACTAATTTAAAATTTAAAGGGTTGTCAATCTTGTAGACAACTGGTGTCGATAGAACAAGATTCACACTTGTGTGTAAGCATTACACCACGTTATTTGGATACAAAAGTATTTATTTTATAAAACTTGTACTCAAAATAGTTATTATCTGTCTACTCACAAATCCTATTTTAAAACAATACATTATCCTTAGCTAATTTGATGTTAACTCTTTACAAACAGTACTCATTTCACTTTGTAATTTTATCAAGAACCTGTACTAAATCAAGATTTTAATCAGAACATTCCCTTTTATCTTTAAAGTGCTTCTTAAATGAAGGCACCAACAAGAACTACTTTCAGATGGTACAGAATTTCTTATTTCTTGAAGACTCTGTGGTTGACCACTTCTTCATTAGTTACCTGCAGCAAGACACCTTCCTGCCAAAGGAAAAAAAAAGTATCTGAAGAAGTTTATCATGTTTGTTCAAAGAACCTAAATAACTTCAGTGGTGGTTTTAGGATTAAAGCAGACTCACTGATGTGTATAAAGCCCTGAACATCACATTTCTGGAAAGGCAATAAAGCCTAGAAGTCACAGGGTAGTTTTAATAAATGAATTTCAGTAGCCAACCTACAGCAGTTTTGGGTAATACAATGGGCAAAACTACCACATTTTAACCCAACTATTTTATACAGGGTATACAAAAAGGGTTGTTTTTGTTGTTGCACAAAAATTTCTTATGTAGTATAAAGACACTGTCCTTAACCTGTCAGCCTCATCCTGAGAAGCATGAAAAATTAGAACCATAAAGTAATAAACACAATGCCTGTAAATGCCTAGTTGACTCAAACTGCTTGATCCAGGATAGGTGAATAAATACACAAGGGTGGAATGATAGGTAAATCTCATTTATTGAACTTGCAGCCTAACTTTTACCTACCATTTTACTACCAACACCACTGAAGGAAGCAAGAAAAGCTTTATTAATGATCACTTGGCTTGCCTCAGCTGTTGAAATGAAGCACTTTACAGTCTTTGTGGCAGCAGAATATACTTGTCCATGGTTCATATCAATGCTAAAATTCCAGCAGGGAAAAAAATGATATGTTAAGCACCTGAATCTTCATGGAAAGGGAGGGGGGTGAGAAAGAAGGAAAAAAAGGGAAAACAACCAAAATAATATAAGTAAATGACAGATTGGAAAACAGGGTTTATAAAATTATCTTGAGTTTATTATTGTTAAACTCAATTTATATAGCTATGTTAAACTACATAAGAACCACTATACTGAAAAGACCATTGAAGAGTTTATTAGTTTATCTTTTAGGGAGGAAAATTAAGAAAGAAAAAGTAAATAAGATCTTACCTAAAGAAGTTTAACTGAAGCTTAGAACTATTTGCTCTACACCCTCAGCTTTCGTTGGCATCCTTATCAACTACTGTAGTTTAAGCTTTGTAGATACAGCACAGTTTCTTAAGACTGGCTGAGCTTAGTCGTCAAGAGTTCTCTTGTACTAGACCTGTGTCCCTGAAGAGTACCTCGCTGGGGTTATTTCCTTTCCTTGCATTGAAGAAGCAGCATCTAAAAGATCTAAAAAGGTGTTTCTCCTTGCAGAGATATCCCTTAAGTTAACTAGATAATTTAATCCTGATGAATTGCAGACAACACACTTAAAACTGACCAGCATTTTATCTTACACAAATACAACAACAGCTTTGCAATGGACCTTAATTATACTACCCACTCCTTAACTTATTTAAAATAAAAAGTCTATAATTACACAATTTCCTTTAGAATTATTTTATTAAATCATAAATGTACAACAGCTTCTTAACTCTACACACGCACTTAAATTTTTAAAGGAAAAACGTTATGTCTTATTACACCATGATCCTGGCTAATAGCTTTTCAAAACTTTTGAGAAAAATCTTAAAAAAGGTTTCACATGTCACCTGAAACTTACAAATTTAACATTATCAAAGAAGGAATGCTTCTACACTCTTACAAAGACCACTAGAAAGAAACAACAATTAAAAAGCTAAGAAACTGTCTCAAAGGCATTTTTACAATCCTTCCTCCACAGTAAGGTAATGTTATTAAATAATCCAATCCATTCACAAAATGGCTCTCTGCATCTGCTCTGGTGTCTTCTGCCATATCACTGCATATTTATGCATGACTGAGATAAGAGTTTCCTTAACATTGTTATTTCGATAACCTGAAGCTGTTCTGTTACCTCTGGGCTCTCATCCTCTCCTATTTATACAGTGAAGCCTGTTTCAACAGAAGTAAAGAGTAAAAAAAAATAGGTTATGAAATTATCCATCTAACCAGACTTTAAGGAAAGATAACATGATCCTAAAATGCTTTAACTCCTGCAGCTAGTTCTCCCAAGATATAATAATGGTAAAACTCAAAAACTACTTACCCATGGTAAGGAGGAAGAAGCTCAATATCGGCTCCTTCCACCATAGCCCCCACTTCCTCCACTTCCTCCAGGACCATAGTTTCCTACAATGAAGAAAGCAAGCTTAGCACATACATACATTTCAAGTTCTCTTTTGGTTCTATGACAGAAGGTCTCAACACAGAGCTGGCTGTCCTGAACTCACATGAAGACCAGGCTGACTTTTAACCCAAGAGATCGTACTCCTTTTGTGTGCTGGATTAAAGGTATCTCAAGGGTTTTTAAAAAAATTGGACCTATCTCTCATAACAAAAACCACCTTTTATGGTACCAGAAGCTTCTTCAACAAGCTAAACGGCTAGGTATTGCACTTAAAGACTTATCCTACCTCTATTTCCCCCTTGCCACCATGTACTGGCAGTACACTTTAAGCTTTAGCTAGGCATGGTGGCAATACCAGCCTTTGTCATCAAACACAATGTAGTACATGTAGGTCAGCGTGAACTACCAAGATTCCCCAATCACTTAACTTTATACTTGGGATGTTCTTTAGCAATTTTATAAGCAGTGAAGCTGTTCAATTTCTATACCTCTC